AACATTTTCGAGGTTCTGAATTTCTCTAAAGTCAGAGAACCGATTAGAGTCGAAGAAAACCAAGTTTCCACGATTTCCGAATTTATCTATCTGAACAGCTCTGGTTGTAAGAAAAAAAGTGCCATAAACAAAACTCAACATGACAGAAACGTCTACATCACCGAAACATTAAAATGAACCTATTAATTTCGTTTGTTCCTCAAAATGGATTCACCCAGCCACCAATTCCAGCGACGAAAGGGCGTAGTTTAAACAATTGTATGTAACTGGGAAAAATGGCAGGGAGATTGCAGAAGTAACTGCGGTTAATTTGAGAGCGTGACAGGATTTACACCTCGAGGTGCATTGCCATATACACACATTAAAATAAACCTGTTAGTTTCGTTTATTCCTCAAAATGGATTCACCCAGCCACCAATTACACCAAAGAAAGGGCCTACTTTTAACAATTGTATGTAACTGGGGAAAATAGCAGGGAGATTGCAGAAGTAACTGCGGTTAATTTGAGAGCGTGACAGGATTTACACCTCGAGGTGCGTCGCCATGGGACGCAGGATTCTTCTATAGGAGGTGTCGAAGTGTGGCAATTCGACGCCTCGTTCACTCGAATCGAAGCCTCGAGGGGGAGCCACGATAACGAGATATCGCCTGCGGAGATAATAGACACTTCTATAGAGATGGCAACAGGTGTTCTCGGGAGATGAAAGAGACGCAACGGGAACTGGTAGCTACCAGCTACCGTAGTTGTGTTCCACGTCGCGGTTGGATCACTCCGATTGCTCCTAGAGAAAGATGCTCGTCCAAGTCAAAACTATCAGCGATCCACAGATCGAAGTGACCAACCCTGATAAGTCCAACTTAAAAGAAAAGGGTCCGAAAATTTAAACAAATCCCGAAGGGGATGTGAAAGTGGCATCCGAAGAGCCATTCATGAATTACGAATCGAGGGTACCGAGTCGTTTCAAACTTCCAACATGAGGCTGTAAGGAAGGTCCTGGCGCTGATGAAGTTTCTTAGTTTACAACAAATTTTAAAAATATATATATGGAAATTTCATGAGTAATGTTTCAATCGATTCTGGGAAATTAGTTTGGGGAAAAGTCTCATGAGAACTCTCTGACGGCAGTTCCAAATCGTCTTAACTATCTTGGGATTATTAGAACAAAGGTCGGTGATAGACAATTGGGATTTCACTTGGCCGGGGTCAAAGTTGGGGTCGATGGGAATCCTCGAGCCCGTGGAATCGGATGCTGGAGCTCTCTCTGAGGATAAACGACGAGATATCGCCCGGGGAGATAATGGGTGCCCCCTGAGAGCAGGAAGCGTCCCTAGCAACGGTTGCTGCAACGGCAAGGTACGCGATGACGCTCGGTTTCTCGGGCAAGATGGCACCATGACCTCTTTCACACAGCCGCAGTGACAGCCACGGATCATCTGGCGTACGAGAACCATTCTCGATTCCCCTCAGCATCCACTCGGACCAGACGATCTCGAGATCGCTACCGGAAGATTGCGCAAAGCGAACGCTCGAAAACTCTCCTTCTGGCTTTCCAGGGATATCACTCGCGAGGCGACGTCCACCTCGCTAATTACTCCCAGACGTGACTTAACTCTTTGATGACTCGAGGATCTTTAACGAGTGCGCCATACGTGTGACGTCTTAATGCAATCTAGGGACCCTGTGCTCAGACAAGGAGCGGTGACGGTCAAAGATGGCCATCGATGGACGAGATGGTCAACCATGGTTAACGATAGTTAATTACGGCCGCTAATCATGAAACATCTTCCTGAAACCTTTATTCCAACTGGGCGCACAAAATCCCTTATGATCTTCCAACGATTCTTCCAAATGATCTCAGGGATTTGTCGGGTGAACTTTATCGATTTTCAATTCAATGGGGCAATTTCTAATCGCTTAGTTTAAGTTACGAACATTGCTTGGGATTGCTCCATAGGAGTGAACTGTGAACAGTTTCTGAGGAAATCTCCTAGGAGCGACAGGATGGGTATTGCGTGGTTTCGAAGAAGAATCTACAATCTAGGCCCGTTCGAATCTCCAGTCGTACTTATCTAATCGATTCTATAATTTATTACATATATCCGAAGCTTCACCCGCTAAAAGGCACTAAATACCACCGAATGGAAGGTTCACTTTATTGGTCCCGCTTGCCATAAAGTAGGTTTTACATTTGTCGGCACTTAGAACTCCGAGAACGGTCATACCATCATTCCGGGGACCATTGATAAAACGATACCCTCGCATTCAGCGACTCTTCTAACATCCGACACGGTCGTTCGATCTTACAATTTAACGCGACGCCGTGAATTGTGCACTCCTGAAGTCCGTCCTCTGTCTGGGAGACACTATGCTAATTGCGAGCAATTTGCACAATTTCCCCGATCCGATCTCGGCGGCTATTTGTCAGTTAAACCTGTCCAATTTGGAGATCAACTTAATTCACCTGATCAGCACCAAGGAACCTTTTCCAGCGTAACTTCCACATACACGAGTCACTTCCAGGACCTCCACGCAGTAGACTTCGATCTCAAGATTACTGATCTAAGATCAGAAGATCCAAAACAAACTAATGAAGCAGCGAATTCAAACGAAGGCAATCGATTTGAAAAGCAATCCGGAAATCGTTAAGGAAGATGAGCCATAAGTCTACTTAAAACCTGTAATGGTTAGCCTTAATTGAAATGCGAGATATTTCCAGTCCTTCTAGTTATACACCTGAACTCAGACTTAATTTTTGTACTAGGGCACTGGGAGACATCAATGCCCTCCCATCCTGCACAGGCGATGCCGCATCTGCAGGGGAGGCATTCATGTCCGCCATTGTACAACACGCGGGATTTAACAGCAACGCATGAAAGCTGAAATAGGATCAGAAGAGTCGGAATTAACTTAGGACCTCTGTTGGTCTCAAATTGATTTTAACAAGATATACTTTCATAGGTTTGAGGTCCAACTTTGGACATTTAATGTAGCAGACATTTCCGTTTTTTCTTCTCGTAACCCTAAAGTAGAACTTCATTCGAACAAAGCAGGACGTGCAAGGTTGAGATGGGGACTTAAAAGAGCGAAGCAGGACGTGCAAAGTTAGGATGAGGACTTAAAAGAGCGAAGCAGAACGTGTAAAGTTAGGACGAAGACTTAAAACAGCGAAGCAGGATCAAAAGAGCCTAAAGTAGGACTTCATTCGAACAAAGGAGGACGTGCAAAGTTGGGACGAGGACTTAAAAGAGCGAAGCAGGACGTGCAAAGTTAGGATGAGGACTTAAAACAGCGAAGCAGAACGTGTAAAGTTAGGACGAGGACTTAAAACAGCGAAGCAGGATCAAAAGAGCCTAAAGTAGGACTTCATTCGAACAAAGCAGGACGTGTAAAGCTGGGACGAAGACTTAAAACAGCTAAGCAGGACCAAAAGAACCTAAAGTAGGACTTTATTCGAACAAAACAGGACGTGTTGGGACGAGGACTTAAAAGAGCGAAGCAGGACCAAAAGAGGTCATACGCAGGCTCGAAGGAGCGCTAAACTTTCAGTTGATCCTGGAAACGCTTCGCGACTCAGGGCGCAGCTCTTCTTGGCGTTTGCTGGGCCTAGTAAATGGTCGAATATCGAAGTCGGGTCGATCGAAGCTCACGGGATCCGAGCGCTTAGAAAGAGTCAAAGGCAGGATCGTAAATTAGTGCTCGATGACCGTGCGAGCTCGGGGCCGTGGCTTCGGACGGCGGGATCTTCGGGTAGTTTTATCGCCGGCCGACAAGCGTTTAACTTTACGAGCGACCACGCCGTATGCTCACCTAGGCACGGGCATGCTAATTCTCGTGACGTGCGTAACATTAAATCCTGACGTTTAATCCGGTAGAAACGCGCGTGGCGTTTAGGTACCGTCGACCCTTTACGGTTCGGCCGTGCCCAGAGACGCCGCGAGCAGCGAACCCTTCGCCATTAGAGATCCTAGCTCCATTCGGCGCACTTGGCGGCTTCGAAAAGCGATATTTCAGATCATCCCGAGATCATACGGACGTTTATCGCGGAGGCTGGTTACGTTACTCCGGGGAAGCTTCCCCGGTTGCTTCCTCGTTGCCGATCTGCCCCCCGGGTCTTTCGATTCCTCTTCCTTAGCGTTACGTTTATCTCGTCCATATTTTTTAGTCACGTGGGTCTTACCAGCGTCATCGTAGCGCAATTAAGTCAAAGTACAGAGATGGACCTTTCTGTATCTGGAATAGTCTCGACGATACGTGGCACTGGATTAAAAGTCATTACTATTAGGTAGGATTAGTGAAAATATCAATCATTGACACGTCGGTAATCTTTTAGGTCCTGGATGTGTCGTTACGTTTATCTCGTCCATATTTTTCAATCACGTGGGTCTTACCAGCGTTGTCATTAAATACCTGGCGTCTAAGTACCACAATTAAGCAAAAGTACAGAGATGGACCTTGCTGTATCTTGAATAGTCTCGACGATACGTGGCACTGGATTAAAAGTCATTACTATTACGTAGGATTAGTGAGAATGATATCAATCATTGACACGTCGGCAATCTTTTAGGGAATTGATAGTTTGGGATTGGATGATTATTGTGTGGAGTATGTGTCGCTGCAATCCTCTATTTTCACTCATGGCGTTGATCCAATGCGTGGGTCCTCGAGAAGGCGTCGTTTCCGTTATTGATATTGTGACCATATTGTTAATTTTAATGGGTCTTAAATGTCAAAATGCTTTAACGGCGATTCGGTACTTCGGGTCGTTAAAATTAACGATGTGAATTCATAATGGAGTGGTTTGTGTAGGCCGAGTAGGGAAGGGTCGAAGATTCGTCCAACGTACCGACGATTGAAATCAGTACTATACCAAAAACCATGATTCGATAACTGGGGTAGATTAAACGCCGTTCACCGCGATTCCCTACTTATTAAGATCATTGATATGAAATATTGAAAGGGGGACCAAAAAATGACCAAGCTCGAACTTTATCTGTTGCAGTCGTTTTTTGGAAGGACGTACAACAACCTGAACAGCATATCGGAGTGCAAAAACGGAGGCGTCTGCGTAATCAACAAGAAGAACCGCACCGCGTGCAAGGCCTGCCGCCTGCGGAAGTGCCTGATGGTGGGCATGTCAAAGTCGGGCTCTCGATACGGTCGCAGGTCGAACTGGTTCAAGATCCACTGCCTGCTGCAGGAGCAGACGAACGGGGGGCAGAGTCCAGGGGCACCAGGAGGGCCATTCGGGCCAGGCTTTCTGCCGGGTTTCCTGCCCCCTCAGGGAGGCCAAGGCCAGCCGGGGATCTACTCCAAGGACGGCAAAGAGCGCGCCTCTCCGAGCCAGGAAGACCTGGCGCTCCAGTCGCACCTGCTGCACGTGGCCATGCTGAAACAGGAAAGGGAACGAGGTAACAAGTCCCCTCACCCGGACGACATCGCCCTGCAGAACCAGTTGAGGTTGCTGGCCTGGCAGAAGGAGCGCGAGAGGGCGAGTCAGCAGCAACCCCCAGGGACGCCACCTCGGGAGGCAACTCCACCCGCGGGCTTCTACAAGCACCCTGCCTCCTCCTCGCCCATGTTCCCCGTCAACTTCGCCCAGAAGGACACCTCGACGAGTCCCCCGGAGGTCTTCAGACCGTTCCTGCCCAGCTACAAGAGGGCGGCCGACACCCCCAGCGACAGCGGCGCGTCCTCCGTCGACGGCGAGCACGACGAGTCCAGGAGCAACTCCGCCCTGAGCTACTTCAAGGCCAGCACCTCGCCGCCGTTGTCCGAGAGGGAGTTCCCCCCTAGGAAGATCAACGCCACGGTGACGCTGACCACCGGCTACCATCCCCACCAGGGCCTGGGACTGATCTACCCTCCACCTGGACTGGTCACCCCGGCCGCGTCCCAGCACTCGCCGCGGGGTGGCGACCTGCTGCTGGTCAGCCCCAGTCCTGGAGGACTCGCCGTGGAACAGGACGAGCCCATCGACCTGAGCGTGAGGTCCACCAGGAGTTCCCCTAGACCCAGCCAACCCACCCATCGCCCTGATCATGGGGCCCCGGACTCCGGGGGCAACCAGGACCAGGCCAAGGAGGAGACCACCGCTGCCAAGAGCAAACCCCTCGACCTCACCCTCGGCGTCAAGAGGCCTGCCGAGGTGCCCCTGTCCCTCTAGGGAATCTCCCTAGCCTTGGGAGCTGGGCTGGTCCCGATTTTTGTCGCCTCGACTCCCCTTCCCATGGTGACTTCCTCGACCTGACGGAGTCCTACATCTGCCAAGGGATGTTTTCCCGATCTTTGCGAGTCTCCACCATCATTTTGGCAGATCTGGATCCTCGGGAGACAGATGATCCACCGCGATGGAGGGATGCCGGGGGGCCAGTTGCAACCCCATCATGAAATGTGTTCAACCTGTACATATCGCCATTGTCATACACGCGCGCTGATTAATTTATTTTCTTCTTCCCGAGTAGATACTAGGGCATTCGGTGTGCGAGAGGAGGGATGCGTGGAGGAATGAGTGACGTAGGTTTTTTAACTTGGAGGATTTCCCCTAGGATGAGGGGGTACATTATACATACTTACGCGTTTATATGTACATGAACGAGGGTGCTGCAGGCAATATATACGTGTATATATACGTTCATAGACTCGTGGATACTTGGTCAAGTAGCGGAGTGCCTTAATATATATAAATATAAATATTCTATGTATACTTATACAGAAAATATATATACTTCGCTCGGACGAGGCATCGAGTCGTCTCGTCGAAGACGTCATACGCGTCAGTTTCCCCATTGTTAATTTTCTTTTAATTTTAATCACGGAATTTCGACTCACAGTATGTGACACAAAATTCATACTAATTGTCCGCAGTAGTAAAGAAGATGGAAAAGAAAAAATTAGACGAGCGGAATCCATGGAACGTCCGAGGGAGGATACGCCCGGAAGAGTGATAAACGTCGCGAATTAGGTCGTCGATGTATATAGTCCTCGATGTATATAGTCGGACAGGGATATCGTTAGTGAGCCCTATAATCGCGATATCGCCATTTTGCTTCTACTTCCGGCGCAATGTCCTCCACTAAGCTAAGATGCGATCCTTCATGTAAATATTCTATGGTAAGTCCGCAATGGCGACGACGAAAGCAACGATATAAATATTTTTCTTTAATCTATTAGCGACGTCTACTGATTATTCCCCCTTTACATTGCTCTTCCTTAATCCAGCCACAATTTCATGACCCCGAGAAGGACCTCTTTTCGTCCTGCTTCCCTCTATTATTTTCTAATTTATTTCAACGAGGTCTACTTTATGCCTACGAGAAGATATGGAAATTTCTACCATTGAGGTCTGAAGGAGAATTTCATACATTAAAGTATATCATGTTAAAACCTACTTGAAATATATAATTAGGGATCCTAGAAAGGGAGACCCATCGAAAAATGATAATGAACAGTTTCATCCTTTCCGGAATTATTGGTACATTTTCTCTGTCATTCTTCGCGCTTCCACGAGCGGAAAATCGCGAACCGAAGACGTAATCAGGTAATCGTCGATTTTAATACTGGAAATCACGTAAAAGTGCAAAATGAAATCACTGGAAATCATTAATGTTAACATTTTCATGCCGATGTCCCTTGTTACCGAATCACATAGTCCATCACATGAAATCAGAAACGATCTGTTTTCATAGGAGAAAATCCTTTCCACGGATTTCCAAGTGAATAGTCCTTCTCATAGTCGCTACCAGAGACGAATGACCGATGCAAATTCATTACTGTTAACATTTCCACGTCGACATTCCTTGTTACCAAATTACATAGTCCATCACATGAAATCAGAAACGATCTGTTTTCATAGGAGGAAATCATTTCCACGGATTTCCAAGTGAATAGTCCCTCTCATAGTCGCTACCAGAGACGAATGACCGATGCAAATTCATTACTGTTAACATTTCCACATCGACATTCCTTGTTACCAAATCACATGAAATCAGGAACGATCTGTTTTCATAGGAGGAAATCATTTCCACGGATTTCCAAGTGAATAGTCCCTCTCGTAGTCTCTACCAGAGACGAATGACCGATGCAAATTCCGACACCTTGCGGATGCGTTCCTGAAAGCGAGAAGATGCGAGGAGAGGAGGATGCTGGAAGGGTTCCGTACCCACGCGCAGCCTTGAGAGGTGGACGCCTTTACGCGTCCCTGCTGACCCGAGGTACAGGTACGTACCAACATCTACCACGAGAGCCAAGGCGAATGCCATTAATCAATTGCACCAGGTAGCTTCGATTGCGAAATCCGCACTCGAGTTACGGATGCCCTGGCCCCGCCATCGTGACGTTCGGCCTTGCCGGGTTAAGTCACGATTCTTTCCATCGCGAGTCTTTCGACTCGCATCCGGGACGGAAAGGATAGGTCGATTATGCGCGAGGTTGCCTTTAACCGAAGAAAAAAGGAAAGAAAAAAGAAAGAACAAATCTAAGGTTCGCTTCTAAACGAACGAAGTACCGCGAAAGACCAGAAGACGCGCGCTACTGACCACAAGAACAATGATATGAAATCATCTGAATAAATCCACGATGACAGTAGGTAGCCAAATTACACATATTAAACCACGTAAACTATTCATATACGTACTATAGACGTTTCATAGACGATATTACACTGTAATTACAAAAATGAAATGTTCACATTATTCATTTGGTGTTCATTAGAACCTTCCTTGTCATCGACCTCGGTCTGAGTTCCTGGCATAGGTGACAAAGGAAGGAATCAGGTGTCATAAGACGAAAAAATCCCTATAGTCAGGCGTTTTTTCTCCTTTCCAAACTGCACCATAAAACGCTCTAAGAGGTTGCCTTATCGGAGGCACGATTGCACAATCAAGCGGTAGACCTCCGAAGTCGATCGAATCGCCATCTTTACTCCGCCCGTTTCGAAACCGAAGCCCTCGGGTGAGGACTTTTCTTCGGGGTCTTTCCTGGGGGGGATTTCTTTCCAAAGAAGGGACCAGGGCACAACAAACGTCTCTACCGGGGGCAATGCGTCTTTGCGACTCTTCGCCGACTGGTTACTCCACGTCCCAGCAATAAGCAATCGCTAGGCCTCGTCATGACTCTATGCATGACGTTGGGCAACTACGAGGCACATATATGCGACGACTTAACCCGCGCATTGACTCCTGGTTGACTCTCTTGCGAAGTAATATTAATAGCGGGGTTAGACACCGGTCGAAACCGCGACACACGAGTCTCTTTCTTTATCTGGCGAGAGTGATCCCGGGGACAAAGAGAGGTGGAAACACACCCAGGGGACCGACAGAGACGGAGATCGGTCACGTTATAGGTGCATTCTGCATAATTGCGGCCTACGGTTGAATTCCCAAGTGCATGCCCTCGCTAATGTGTCCCGGGATTCTCACGCTCCTCCGGCTGATGCCAATGGCGAGGAAAAATCCAATCGGCGAAATTCGAGGCTGATAAGGCTCGATAATAGGGATGCTGTCGCTTATCTCTCTGTATATATAGAAGTGCCGAAGAAGGAAGTGGCCTGGAATCGCAATCTCACTGCTGGTACATTGTACTCTGCCTATTGATCGTACACTGGGAGACATCAATGCCCTCCCAACCTGCACAGGCGATGCCGTACCTGCAGGGGAGGCATTCGTGTCCGCCATTCTACTATGCAGTTGGACTGGAATTGTTTAGATTAGGTGAAGATTAATATTCAGGATTAATTTCTGCACGCCGTGGAACAGGTGGATGCGCGATTGCACAATTATACAGCCAAGGTTCATTATTCATTACCTTGGAGATTCCTCGCGTACCTGACATTTATTTCAGGAACTCGAGGATTAGTCAAGGAAATGAGAGATCAAGAAAGTACTCGGGGAGAGTGGAAATACTTGCCTCTGGGATTTTATGAGAAAATGCCGATTCTCCGATGATGACGCTCTAGAAATTCTAGTTCATGTTGGGACGTTTTGTTAATTAATTTCTTGTTACTCGTTAATGTTTCGTTCATTAAATTGTCACGTATAGATATCCTAGAGATGAAATAGCGATGGAACTACTAAATTGCCATACCGTGGAAACACACCCTGAAGTGCGATGGGCCTCGCTGTTGGTTCGCCGCATAATTGCTGCCTACGATCGGATTCCTTCTGTAAACAATCGCGGACGCATTGTGCAATGTGCAGTTCTCATGCGTGCATTACTAGCGGCTGATTCAGAAAGGCTATGACGCCTCCCGTTGCCATTTCATTTTTCTATATACGAAAGAAGGAGCTATTGCGGAAATCAGAACTTCTCTTTCCTGTGGACTGGCATAACGTGGGGATAAAAAACCAGCATAATGTCTGATGCAATGTCAATGGCTTTTTGAGGATATTCAGGAGAAGATACAGAGAACCTACGTACTTGCTTCCTTCATTACTTTCTTTAGAGATTCTCTTTGATTCGTTCGACACCCTGCACTTCGCATATTACTGTACACTGGGAGACATCAATGCCCTCCCATCCTGCACAGGCGATGTCGTATCTGCAGAGGAGGGATTCATGTCCGCCATTGTACATTACACTATGTATCATATAAATAGTCGATTTGATTAGTATTTATTTCACAATTTTTATTTATGTAATTAATCCTGAATTTGCTAATACTGCATTGTATACTATGTAAATGATTATTCGATCAGTATTTATATTACGCAATTTTTATTTATTTAATTAACCTCGCATTTGCTAATATTGCATTGCATACTATATAAATGATTATTCGATCAGTATTTATATTACGCAAATTCTATTCATTTAATTAATCCAAGCTATTTATTATTTCAATTATTGGTCGGGCTAAGGAGTAAAGTCTAACATTCATTTGAATGGCCTGTGAGACGTCTTTGTTGATATTTTCACCGAGAGGTGTCAGGCTGATATGGGTGAGGGGCTTAGGGGCTCGTGATAACACAAGGTCGGTCAGTCTATCAGGAACGTGGGACGAGAACAGACGTGCCGTAGTAAACAAAAATCCAGGGAGGTGAACAAAGATCCAACGACGTCGTATGCCGTTTGCCATCTTCTCAATGATCGAGGAGAGAATCATCGACTTATCAGATAAGAATTTCAATGAATAATTCTAAATAAAATCCATTATGTCGCAAGATCTATTGATTTCGATCCATAAGTTAGCGCAGAGATTCATAAAAGTTCAACAATTATTTTTTTGCATCAAATCAAACCACATTAATTGATAATGTCTTCTTCGGGGACGTTGATCACTTCTCCTCGCTTTTACGAGGAGTTAAGAATGCAATTGTTTTCCAAGGGAAATTTGATAGAAAATAATTTATTCGTGAATAATTGTTAATTACCAAAACTGAGGAATATTGTAAATGTGAGAAGCAATGCATTACGGAGTAATTTGGCTTGAATAATTTCCTTCATTTTATTCTATTCCGACCTAGAGATTAGTAAAAGTTCAACAATTTATTTTTTTGTTGATCATTTCTTGTCACTGTTAGACGGAGTTAAGAATGCAATTGTTTTCCAAGGGAAATTCGATGGAAAATAGTTTATTTATTTTTTTATTTTTAGAAAATAATTTATTCGCAAACTTATGGAACGATTCAATAATTGTTATTTACCGAAGGTAAAGGGAATATTGTAAATGAGAAGCAATACATTACGGAGTAATGTGGCTTGAATAATTTCCTTCATTTTATTTTATTACGGCCTGTCGGTTTATTATTAGGAACTAGTGCAGATAACAATCCCTTATTGCGAAAAAGCTTCCCAGTTACGGTCGACTCTCTTTCTCTTTCGGTATTCTCTGGCTGTCAATCCACAGTAATTGAAGTCAGTATAAATATTCGCGCCCATACGTGATTACATTTCCGTCAGTCGAAGAAGGGCAGAAGCGCAATCGTCGCAAGAGTCGTTGGGCGTAGGTAGTAATTATTGTATGTAGGCGGTAATTGCATGTCAGTGATAATTACGTCCGATAATCAACGTGTCCTGTCGGAGAATGGTCTCTAAAATAAAAGTGCTCGGTCTCGAAATTTCAGAGAAATTCCTAGATAGTACCATAAGCCCCCTCAAACGTATAAACAAAATTAATAATTATGACACAGAGCATGTCCG